TCGCTATATTTCATTTTACTTTAAAATGGGCTTCTTGAATATAAAGGTTTTCCTGGACACCTGTTTTTTGTCTGTTTCATCTTATTGTAGGTACCTGTCAAAGTGTTTTGTGAGTTAACTGGCCGTGTAGATCGAATTTCTAATTAAAAGCATACCAGTCATTAGTAATTACAAATTACTCTAAGTACTCGTAAAATGCAATTCTTCAAAAGTCAATGCTAGTGATATTATCCTTTCTCCCTAATAATAATGTAATGATTATCATGAATAATAATTATTATTTCAGTGTATATTGGCATATTAATTGCTGTATTTTCTTTGTTTCATAGGAATTTCTAGAATGGATACAAAATGATTGTCCATTAAATTTACCTATGATAGCATTTACAGAATTAAATGAACAATTATTATGTCATCAAGAAAACACAAAGAAAGGAGAGATAAAAGAATATACTAGAAAAGAAATCAATGGACGAGTGACTAAGATTAATATACCTGATCAAATATTAGACAAAACAATTACTAATAATCAGACAGATGAAAACATTAATATTAATAATAATAATGAAAAGAATAATCATTTAACTTTATCCAATAGTTTTGGTGTACACAACTCGGTGAATGATATGGAAAACATTCCAAATAGTAATAATAACTATGATAATAATGCTAAAAGTCAAGAGTCTAATCATTCTGTTCATATAATCAAAACAACTGATGTTCTATTAAAAAATTCAACTGAATCAAATAATCATGACACTATTAAAGAAATTTCAAATGATTCAATAAACAATCATAATGATTCACAAGTTAAAACTGATGATAAATATTTTTCACCAATAATCATAAACTCTGTTAAAACAAAATCATCATTCAATTCAAATTATTTTCCATTGGATAAACCTTTATCAAGATTTATATACCGTTTATATTTGCAAGATATAAAACCTTGTTTTGAATTTATTGATAAAAAACTTATCTCTTCAATTTATCAAGCATTACCGGAATTAGGTTTAGAAATTACACCAATTACACCGGAATTAGGCGGTGGTTTACGTCGGAATAACGACATAAATGGTGGTGATAAAACAATAAAAGTTGTTCATGAATACTGCTCATTAATGCCAAAATATGAAGCTATGTTTCGTATGAAAATCAGAGTAAGTTGAATTGTTAAGAAATTATTTTCTCAGTAATCTACCGACCTGATTGATTTAGAGATTCATCAAAGATAAGTATTAGTAGTGTCATTTTTCATAATTTGAAACATATCATAACATATGTTACTGGATGTTTGGTTGAAGTCACATGATCTAGGTCACACATTCTATGTCAGTAATTAAAAAGAAATATCTCAAATCTAGAAACCACATTTTTGTCGACGGCAACTCTACTGAAACACTCAGATGCCCAGTCAATTATATATATATATATATATATATTTGTCGGTGTGTATGGGGTAGAAGAACTAGGTCATCTGCAAAGTCCAAATCATCTAGTTGCATCCAACCTGTCCATTGTATTCCGTGCTTCCCCTTAGATGTCGAGGTCTTCATAATCAAGTCGAGCACCAGAAGAAAGAGAAAGTGGGAGAGTAAGCAGTCTTGTTTGACTCCCGTCCTTTTTCGGAATGCGTCTCATCTTACAAGTGCCTTACTTGATTCTTTAGACAGCATCAGAGCAACTCCCTGAGTGTGTAGAGCATTTTCTTTCTCATGACCAGAGTACAACAGCATCTCTCTTGAATCTATCCTTTCGAATGCTTATTTTAGAAATCCTTTTTATAGTATGTTGGTTATGCAACAGTAATAATAATGTAAACAATAATAATTTACGGATAACTTACTGTTTACCTTTAAAAAGCTGATATATGACATTTTATGTTTTTTTTTTATTTCCTACGTTAGACACCTGATTCCAATGAAATCGATTGTAAAATATCATTACCAGCAAGAGATAGATTAGTTGCAATTGTCAATCTATTTCAATACTTAAGTATAATAAAACGTGGTCTAGATTCTAGTCCGATGATTAGTATTAATGGAAAGAATGATAATCACTTCATCAATTTAAAGAATTGTAAGAATTATCACAATAATGGTAAAGAAGCCATCACAAAGGAAGTTGAGATACAAGAACAACAATTCCGTACAATTCAACGGCATCGATTAAATATCGCACTAGCTCGACTTGGATATGGAACACCAGATTTAGAGTGAATGCAGTTGATTGATAGCATTATTATTACGATGATTGATTCCTTTCTTGAATTATTGCTAAATGTATGAATTCATTCTGTAGACATCTAGTTGAGTTTACATACTACTTTTCCTTTTACATTTACATTCCTTGTGACTAATTCAATACCATTAACAATAATTTCCTTGTTCCTTCTAAGAAAGACTTTCTGTCTATAACCTTTTTTTATACCGTTGATTTCCACGAAACATAAAGAAAAATACACATCAGGATCATGCGGAATCGTTGAACACCATGTACATAAATGAATAGCTGTCTAATTCAAATGAATAAATCTTTAAATCATAAATTATATTCCAAAAGATCAAGATTCAATCAACTGAACAATCCAATAAAAATATAGAAACAAACAATTTTTTCAAAACGACGCTTTACACATGTAAATAAATATAAACATACACTGACTTTTATTTATTTGTATTGTTTTGTCGAAATTAATGAAATGATTATTTTCTATTGGAAAATATAAGTAGATGTGTTTTGTTTTAAAATACATACAGAGTGAATGTCAGCCGAAAAAAACATATACAGTGGTCTAGTTAGTTAAGCGCTTGGCGCGAGACTGATAGGTCCTGGGTTCGAATCACGCTAGGCGGGATCGTGGATGCGCACTGCTGAGGAGTCCCATACTAGAATGAAACGGCCGTCCGGTGCTTCCAGGTTTTCCATGGTGGTCTAGCTTTAATTGACTCATGATTTCAATCTGTGAAATGTCCAAAATCTCCACAATCCCCTTCTGATAATAATCATCTGCTCACTAGTGACTGAATTCAAGAGATACTCATAGAGTCCTAGTGAAAAGCCGTTACCAGTGGAGTTGAACCAGGTCTGTTGTGAAATATCAGCTTACTGAAGACAATGGTAAACGGTGGCGCAACTTTGTGGATTGGTTGAAGTTAGACATTAACAGCATTGAATGCCGGCTCAGTGGTCTAGTTGGTTAAGCGCTTGGCGCGAGACTGACAGGTCCTGGGTTTGAATCTTGCGGGGTGCGGGATCATGGATGCGCACTGCTGAGGAGTCCCATACTAGGATGAAACGGCCGTCCGGTGCTTCCAGGTTTTCCATGGTGGTCTAGCTTTAATTGACTCATGATTTCAATCTGTGAAATTTCCAAAATCTCCACAAATCCCTTCTGATAGTATACATGTTTTAATTAAAGTCTGGAAAAATTGAAACTTATCATGAATGAAATCTGAATATTCCAAGTTTTGTTCCTGATTAGATTATTCATAACATTTTTCATTTCAATCTTACTTTCGCAAATGATTTCATTGAATTTTCTTTTATTTATATTCTATTATCATTTAGAATATTTATGTGTATAACATCTAGTGGATCTATACAATTATCTTGTTATGAAATAAATGATAAAATTGTTTTGATCTTATCATTTTTAATGAAACCAGATCTTTGCTTTACAACTCGACAATACTAGTATTAGTTCATTATATTAAGGTAAAATCGATAATAATAATAATAATAATAATAAAGGACACCATTAATTATTTATTACCAATTTTTTTATATTATTTATTCAAAGATTTAATTAGGTACAAAAAATATGTGAAATATGTACTATGAAGTATCACACATTTTATTGCATAACATTCTTTACTCCATTATAACTTCTAGTTATATAAAATTTATTAAATTACTTTCAGAATGGTAACTGAAAAAAAACAGCATTTTCCGATTTATTTATTATTATTCACTTGAACACATAGGTGTTGGTACAAGAAGACACCAATACATGGGCGTCACACAAATCTCATTTGATTTGTGTGAGGGCTGTTATATTGCTCGGGTGCCCAGAGCGAAGCAGATGGTTTTATTAGGGGGCCACACCCGGAGCCTTCGACCTACAAGGACTGACCCACAAGGCAGTGGAGATGCAGTCCCATGGTTGCCGGTGACCAACGATTGGTTCATACGCCATTTGTTCCCTCAGGATACTGAAGTTTATGTGCAATTAAAAATATGTATTCAGGAGCGTTATGGTTATTTCTGAAATACACAAATTAAATAATGTCTCGAGTTCGAACTGAACATATCATTTTTCGCTAAAATAAATGGATATTTCTTCATTAAGTAACATCACTAAAGTTCACCACGTTCAACTAGATATGACAGTTGGATCTTGTAGAGTAAACATAGGCTCACTTTATTTCATTCAATAATCGCTGAACCGTTGTTTTTTTAAAAAAGCAACAGACAGATCTCATTACACCAACAAGCTGATAATTTTAGTGCGTTATTTTGAAAAACAAATGATTTGTATTTCATTCACAAAAAGGATAGATATCAAGATTTCAGGTTGTAGTGAGATATGAAGGATAGCTTGAAAAATATCTTACTCCAAATAAGTAGTGATTGAATTGAAGAAGTAGGTTTCAGCTTGTTAAGAACTCATTAATCAGATAAGTCTGCATTCACTGACGGCGAGTAATCAATCCTTCATAAAATAGTACCAAACATGATGAATTTATGACAACTCATTACAGATTGAATGAGTTTTTACTTATCCTGACCCACAAATTCAAGTGAACTACAATGTTTACATTCACTCCACTAACTGCTTTTCTCATATTTTTTATTAATTACTTTTTATATTTGGTGTCTTTACTGTTTCAGTGAAGCATTCGACATCACGAACTTATGTTAAATTTAATTTAATGATCAAACCATAATGGATTATAGTTTTACTCACCCCATATAAATATGAATGATAAAACAAAAAGGAATTGTGAATAATTTTTCTAATTTGAGATTGACAGTTACGAATAATTTATTTCTGGAGGTACTTCGATGAAAATGACAGCATTAGAGAAATGTTGAGAGTTGTTCATAGAGGTATCGAATTGGAGAGAACAATCCTTACAAACAGATCAAATTCTTCAGTGAGGGTGGTAAACATCACAAAAGTAACGGAAAAACGTAAGAACATTCGATCTCCTTTGATGATAAAAACATCGAATGTATACGGTCTCTTGTATTTTCCGATTGCAAATTACTTTTTCAAAGTTTTATAATTAATTGAGTTTAAGAAACTCTATGAATGTGAGAAACGGCTAGGTAGTCAGAGATTTTGGATATCTAACGAAATCCATGACCTAGCGAAATGTTTAGCTAAATTGTTAAACTCAATTTGTAACAAACTATGTAAACATCCATGTTCACTCTAAACATTTTGAATATGGATTTGACAAACACATGGATGCGCTACATATCTGATATTCATCATTTTGTGGTTGCAGTTAATATGTTGTACCTAGTACATCATACTTTTGTACAGCTACCTATCTATTCGTAACTGGTAGTTAGTACAGAAAATATAAAATCGTATTAAAATAATTCTGATTCTTTTTATCAGAATAAAAAAGAACAATTTTCTTTATAGAAAAAAAAACAATATAAACTGAATTCAATCTTGGCAATCAGGCTGTTAAAATAAAAACAAACTAAAGGGAAAAAACAACCGAAGAAATAAGCAGAAAAAATATTGATAAAAGATGTAAATTATGCACAATATAATCTAAACAAAGTCAGTAGAATAAGTAATACAGAAATTCATAAACAGAACTGGTTGTTCATACAGCAAAATATAACAGAAAATTAAGTAGTATATGTATAAGTAAATTTTATAGAAAGAAAAAGGTGAAGGAGTTTTCACTTTCAAAATACATCTTTACACGTGTAAATGAGCAAATTTAGTTGTAAAAGTTAATTGAAAGAATCAACAATTTAGTGTTGGTAAAAAAAAGAGAGAAAATAATCCATAAGTGAACTAAATGACAAATATAAACTGCATCTAAACAGCATTAAGTCAACAAACTAAATTATCTATATACCTACATTCGGAAACAAACTTTTGTAAATGTCTCCTATTTTCCTTTGTCAACTTTTTATTGTACAGAATTTCAAGAAACAGTAAAGATATTGACTTTATAAGATTATATATATATATATGCACAAATCATCAAAACAGTATGTTGGTAATCAGTGAAGTTAACAATTGATCATATGAAACGATCACACAATAACACAATCGGTGCAATAAAAATAAGGCAGAAAAAGGATGAAAACAGCACTGAAATGTAAAATAATAAATATGAAGAGAAAGATTAAAAAATCACTTAACAAAATAAAAGAAGAACAACACCCGAACCATCTTGGTCATCTAAGTGGCGAAAATGACATAAAGAAGAGTAAATATATTTAGAAATTAGAAAAATTAAACAAGAACAAGTAAACAACCATAGTCATCATCATCATCACAGTGAACAGTTTATTCTCCCTAATGGCGTTAATTAAAATAAACAGTGGTTGACATTTGTTGACATTATCTCTTATAACAAAAGTCATGTGAAAATAAAATGTGATAATTATGACGTCATCAATGGTTCATGCTAATGATTATCATCATCATCAGGCTTTAAGACTTTCGACGAAGTCCCATATAGCAACTTTTCAGCAAAATTTTTTATAAATGTTAATGAAGTCGATATTCTGATTATAGTCAAAAATAATATTACTATAATAAAAGTCGAGTATGTGAGGAGGTTCAAAAAATGAAATCATCAAAGCCACATACGCATTTATTTACAATAAAGTACACGACAATGCACTTATACACAATGTACTTATTACAATAAATCAGTAGTTCAAAAAGAAACACGAAAATAGGCTAATGGTTAGGGAAGTTAGTGAAAGCCCAACGTAGAGAATTCGATCAGTTATACAGACAGATAGATAAAGAAATGAAGAGATGACAGTAGTTCGACAAAACAGAACAAAGTGGGGGATTAGTAGGGAAATAAGTCGTGAATGAAAACATCAAAACGGAACAGAAACAGAGAATGAAGTTAATGTGAATTAGGACTATTTTATAAATATCAATAACAAGAATTATAAATTACAGATCAGAATTATCTTTTCTTCTATAAGACATAAACTATAAACAAACAAAAATGTTCTAAAAAATGTAATAGGATTCACCAACACTAACTAACAAGGTGAACAGGAAAGACAGTAAAACAGTTTTTATTGACGCACAGAAACAATTTTTCGTACTGAAATAATCTTTTACACTTTCTACAAGAATAATTGAAAATAAGATCTAAAAAAAACTTTTCAATAAATATCTGGACATTTTAACCAATCTTGTTGTTCTTTTGATTTCCAATAGTTTCCTAAATATTCATGATATACATTACCATTGACATCATGTTTTGGTGAAAACCAAACCGGTGTGAATAATGGTTCATCTGTTTGACCTGAAGAAAAATGGCATATATATATATACAAATATCAAACTATACACTAAAGTGTCTCCATGACAGATAAAATAGTTGAATACCTATATTCCTGAAATTCGATTATCTTTATACAAAAACCGAATAAATAATTTTTCCTCAATCAAACGTCAATCAGTCAAATTAAATCCACACTATCCTAATTCCTAAACAATATAATTTCATACCCGAACAACAAATATGGAAAGATTTTCTACTTTTCCCACTATAGATGAATCTTCAAAGAAGTAAATCTTTCCGGACCTATAAGACAATTAATAGGCAGTGTTATTAAAAGTCCAAATACTAACGCTTAGTGATATCTAAAAATTTATTTATTCATTTTAATTTTAACACATAGATATTGGTACAAGGAGGCACCAAATACATATGCGCCACACAAATCTCATTTGATATGTGTGAGATCTAAAAATCAGGCAACTAGTGAAATAGAATCAGTTTATAAATTATGAAGTAAAAACATAAGATTGCTTTTTAAGTATATTGCTGCATTAGTGATCAGAAAACTGTGCGGTAAAGTAAACTAAATAACTGATCCGTCATAAACAAGTTCTTTGAACAAAATACTATTGATAGATAGCTAATTCATTTAACTGTTAACTGATAGAAGACTCGAAAATGGAATAAAACACGTAAATGTGAAAATTCCATTGTAATATAGGATTAAACATGTGCTAAAGAGACTGTGGATAAAAAGCCACTTTACAACAATGAAGTGTATCCTTATAAATTAAACTGTTTACCATCAATATTGTATTTTATACCATGTAGAAATCAGTTGACATCTTGCTAAATTATCTTATTGTGGTATTTTTAATATGTTATATGTTGTTACCTGATGGTTTAAACATGTAAGTACCTATCCTTGTTTCATTAGTCCCAGACGTAGAAAAGTTAGAATTCGTGGCTTGACGATCACGTTTGGTTTGATAAATGATGTAGCAAATAATAAATGATAAAATTCTGCCTTAAAACAACATCAGAATAATACCTTCTCTAACTGCTTTCTCCCATGCATGTCGTTTATTTCTTTGTTTCGCTTCAAGGCGCCTTTTTTCTTCATTTGCTTGATCCCATAATCCTTGTTCCATAAGACGTTGATCAGGTCTACGTCTTGAGTCAGTCGGTGCAACACCATCTTCCATTTCATTTAATTCAATAGCAAATCGAGAAAAGTGATACATCTAGAGTAGGAAAAGAAATTATTTCAATGAAAACGTTTTCAAGTTATTTGAATATGATATTAACAGGTTCTTAATTTCCGTTAGAGAGGAAAACAACTTTCAACAACAAATTTGATATTAGTGCAACATTGATTGCTTCGTTTCTTCTATTCATATTTAGCAAATAAAACACAATATTAGATCGATTAATTATACAACGCACACCTTCCAGAGTTAGCACATTAGCTTCTTAATTAATAGTGACGCCGACAAAGCAGTTGAAAAGGATTAACAATTTCTTGATCACCTTACTTGAGTAATTCTCTTTATCCTATTAACGTTTAATATAAATGACAATATGGCATCCTCAAGCTTGAAATATATTCGTTAGGAAATTCAAACAATCCAGAATACAGTTCGTATCAATATTCATTTAAAAAATGAGATGATTAGAAAATGTGATAATCAAGAAGATAAAAGAATGGTAGAAATCTTTAGTGGTGAAATCTCATTAGGTCAATATGAAGTTCAAGTGATACTTGCCAAACTATGTAGACTACAGTAGCCAATTTTTCTAGAAGAAAACAAATTTATAGCAATCCAAAAAAGGTCGACTAACATTTTGATTAATTATAACTTCGAGAAAGAAATAACAGCAGATTATTATTATTATCATTAGTTGTCATCGTTGTCTTTCACATACGTTTCACTTTCTGTGACGAAAAATCACAATAATTTGGTTTTAATTTACCTAGTTTTTACCTTCAACTGATGCTTGAAACAGTTACTATTCGTGCAATAAACTAGATGTGTGTTCATTGCCTCTATAATCCTCAAATAGCTTTCAAGCCGGTCTCCTCTTACACTAAAAACCTTCAAAGTGAACAAGCGAAAACATCATCTGTTAGTCGTGTCCACCCTTTGATGTAAAATTTAGTAAGACATTATACTAGAGAACAAGGAAGTATTCGAATGAATACAAGTGACTTCGGCGACCTAACGGATTAATCGTTAGCACATATAAACCCAAAACTCTATGATTTGAATTTTTTTTTACTTAATAGAATCATGTGGTTGTCGTAACAAATAATTCTTCGTTCTTCTTCGTTTATATCATTATGTTTTAATATAATGGGAATTTTGCAGCGACTAAAATAATTAAATGTATAACAATTTTGGAAGTAATCGTGTAGTATTTTTCTTTCTTTCAATACATGTACAATAACAAAGTCAACCAATACACTTAATGAATTTTGATGCATATTTATTACCTTTCGGTTCAATCTATTATTTTCTGTCATATAAAAGTAATCAGTGAATATGTAGATAAGTAAGTAGATAAGTATATATATTTGTGATTGTACAGCTTTGAAAATGAATTCGCCAAAAAGAGAACTCTTCACTGAACTAATCTTTCTTATTTAATGTGTAGATTTACAGAAAAATTAAGAACAAAGCAAAACTTTTATTATCTATCAAAACTTAATACCCTACCCTTTCTATCATCTTATTACTTTATACTAATTACAAATTCATACTATCCAGCATCATTATTATTATATATCCAGAATTATATGACTCAGTAATCATAGCATGAACTTACATCAGAAGCATTAGAAGGTAATGGATCAGGTTTCCATATTAATATTGGCTCACCGACAGGTATTTTATCGATTGATAAACGTTGATATTCTAAATAATTATCCCACGTTCCTTGAATTACAGCAACTGGTACACCAGTTGAATTTTTCACAAAACCTGTGACCTAATAGTTTTTTTTGTGTTTTTTTTTAATGAAAAGAAAACATAATCAGGAAGAAGATTCAATTTAAAAAGAACTAAGAAATCTTTAACACTATCCAATATTAAAATTATTGTACAAAAAACCCCCAATCTTATTGATCTAAACAATTTGTCTTTGTTTAACCAAACAAATGAATAGTAAGCAGATACGCTGATTTTGTAGGTTTACAGCTTTAAATAACAAAAAACGCCCATGAATATTTGGTTACAGTAAATCAAGATCAAATGATTAGATTCAGTAAACAATATTATGTTCTAAAAGTCAGTCAGTCTGGAGGTACCTGAAAAGGAAATTGGATTAGAGGTGGTCTTAGTGACCTGGGAGCGTGACCGCAGTGCCCGAGGGACAACTGCTTGAGGTCGGTTACACACGGCCTTTTATGGATAATTTTCGTGTTAGCTCCGTATTTGTTGAGACCTTACTACCGGAGACGGATATCCGTGGGATAAGGCGAGGTGTGCATTTTTAGGGTCGACCTTTTCTAACCCCAACCTTCCTTGTAGGAAGGCAGCATCGCCATCATGCTGGTTGTCTGAAGAGAACACCTTACTGTTGTCACACCTCTGTACAGTCAGTAGTATGACTTCGCCTTCGGACCTTGGGTTTGTTGCTTTTAGTCTTACCGCTCTTCAACCGACCTGTCTGACATGGTAGGACCTTGAGGAACGGTTGTTCGAGCCAGTATAGCTCGGTTGCTTCATCACGATAGGCAAGCCCGACCACCACCGTCAAAGTAGCAACAACGGTCGGGTATGTTCTAAAAGAAAAGTTTATTGATGATTACAATTTTACACTAACACTTCGTGAATTATATATTTTAAGTATCATTTAGCTTAAGCTTTGAGGTTATACATTTCAGTGGAAAAAAATCTAAGCTCTTTTATATATTTTTTGGTAGACTATGATTGTGTTTAATAATTGTGATGGGATAAAGTTTTCTTACCGAAAAATATATGTTATCCAATATGGAATAATTTTAAGAGTATAGAACTTAAGAGAATAAAAACTAACAATGGATGAAAGGTTGTGCAACATCATGGATAGATTAAAGTTAGATATTAACAGCGTCGGATGCTGGCTCAATGGTATAGAGATTAAGCGATTACGCACGAGACCGAAGGTCCTTGGTTCAAATCCCGTGTATGGGATCGTGGCAGCGCACTACTGAGGAGGATCATACTAGAACGAAACAACCGTCCAGTGGTTTCAGATTTTCATTGGTGGTCTAGCTTAGACCGACTCATGAATTCAAAATTAAAATTACTACAATCTCCACAAATCTCCATTATGAAAATATTAAACAGGTAATGACAGTTTTTTTTTTACAAAATATATGGCATATTTAGTAACATCACAATTTTTGTTGATAAAATCCTTGTGTTTGTATCCGACAGAAATACATTTCACTTTTATACGATTACACAATAAAGTCTACAGAATAAAGACTTCACCTTATCATGAATAAAGGATAGGACAAATGAAAAGTGCTATATAGTGAGAGTGAACTCTGGATAGGGTTTTATCATAGACCTTTCTTGTAAACAATAGGTATGACGGGAATATATATATATATATATATAGACCAAACAAGATGACATACTCGTCTTGACTGTCCTCTATTAAAATAAGAATGAGCGATAAACTGCAGGCTACATGAATAACCAGTTTTATGATTTTCTATGGTTACATCACCATAATTATCAATCCATATCGTACCAACAATTAAATTATGAACAACTGTTGTTACTTTTGTCCAAGTATAATGTGATCCGTCAGCGAACTGTAGATTAATGGTACCTAAATGATAAATTAACATGGAGTAAGAAAACGTAAGGAAATGGAGAACTAAGTGAAGGAAAAAGAGTAGATGTTACGTAATTTGTCTGAAGTGAGTTTTAGACACTTTGAATTAATAAAATAACAAGTGAGAAAAGGAATTTTAACGGATGAGTTCGATAGTAATAGGTAAGAATATTTCAGTTATTGAATTAAAACAACAGAACTAGGAATACACATTCAGATAATGTTGACTTACGAAGATATGGTTATCAAATAACTTCAGCTACTCATCAAACAACCAAATAATATCATTTATTTTTAAATGTGAGGTGGCAGACAGGATAAAAAGAAGAATCGTCTGATCTATGCTCAATTAAAAAACGTAACTGAAATACTTTAATTCTTTTTGTATTGTTTGTTTGAATCTTCTCATTGATGTTTAGGACTGCAATTGACCAGACTCTTATTAATATATGTACATCCTATGAGGGTTGCCTCGATATTGACTTAAGTCACAAGCATTATGAGCAAAGATGGATGGTGGCTAGCAGTGGAATCCAGGATTTAAGGCAGTATCGAGGCAATCCGCACAGGATGTACATATGCCAATAACTGACTGATCAATTGTAGTTCAAAACATCAATGTGAAGCATCAAACAAACAATACGAAATGAATTTAACCTTCACCCCATTGCACAAGCTAGTAGCTATCAGAACTCAGTAATTAAGTGAATAACGCGATGGCGTTTGGAGCGAATGGTACTGGGTTCGAGTCTCGGAATGGACATCAACTCTGGGATGCAGGTATATCCAGTTGACGAGTCCCAAATAGGGAGAAACAAGCATCACGGATTGCACTACTGACCACCATCCATCTTTGCTTGTAACTGAAATGCATGAGCACCTACATAAAATGATCAGTTATTTTACGGAAATACAAGACTAATGTTAAACAAAACATATTGAAATGAAAACCATTAGAGGTTATATGACAAGTAAGAATTATCAATAGCAGTTAGGTAGTAATACCAATGACGTCTAAGTGATTTTAAAAACATGTTTTCTACAAATCCCTGTTTTAAATGACTCTTAATCATGTACACTTTTGGGTTCAATATTCTGCATAAATTTTGTTAGAAAAACCCTGTACTCATGATATACTGTGATGTCTTTCAAATTCAGGTTACTAAAGGCATGCATAGTAATCTGGTTTCGTGAGAATCTACCAGTAAATTTATAGGGTATCAGTACGCATTACTTATCGATCAATATCGTGTCACCCTGAGCTGTAACGTATTGGAAAATCCTGAACCTTCTCTTCATGACTAGCTGAAAAAAAGAGTATATCATCCCATCAAACAAGCCGATAGAGAAGTCATTAAATTCCCCATTAAACCACTCTAAATATCTTCTACATTAATTTTATTGGACGTGCCAAGTGAATAAAGTTAGGATAGTTACAACATATACACTAAAGTTGGAACAGTGATTTAATAATTATACTGTTTCGCTAGATTATTATACTTTAACAGACCTACAATAATAATATAGAATGTGTTATGTTGGGTTTCTTTCACAATTTCGCTATTTAACATCGAATCCAATAAAAAGACGCAGTTTTCTGTTTCCTTTTTTGTTATTTGAAAATAAATATTGGTACAAGGAAGAACCAAATACATATGCGCCACACAGATCTCATTTGATATGTGTGAGGGATGTGATACTGCCTGGGTGACAGACCGAAGCAGGTGGTTATCTTAGGGAGCCACTCCCCGAGCCTTCGACCTAAAGGTCTAACCCACGAGGCAGTGGAGCATCGTAAGGAGATGCAGTCCCATGGTAACCGGTGACCAACGATTGGTTCATACGCCATTCGTTCCCGCAGGATACTGGAGCCCATGTGCACCATTGGTTTGGAATCCGGTTAAAGCGCCGGACATTCGCTTTTCGTCCTCTCATTTTCGTAAACAACACCCCTGCCACGAGAAGGCAGTGAGCAGGACTTCCCTGGCAGAGGCTGTATACGCGTCTCAGTGTGAGAAATTTCGAGAGGGAGGGCGGGCCCACTCCACTCTCGACCATACCATGGCATTTGGGGGCTTGGGTGTTTTTTCACGTTTTTCATAAAATTTACATACAATTTATGATACTCAAAGCTTGAATTTAAAGTTTTTGTACTTTGCATTCATAAGTTATTTTAAAAAAATTATAAAGTCTACGAATACCAGACCCCTAAACTTTGAACTGAATGATCTATTAGTGAGAAAAATTAGTGAACCAAATTGAAGAAATTCAATCATTCAAAAAATTATTTTATAAAATCGTAATTGAAAGTGCATTGAAAACAGAAATAAAAAGTAAACTCTATGAAAATGCATACTAATGTAAATCAACATAAAATAAATCATCACATGAATCTGAAAAAGTAAACATTCCACATAAAGATGTATAAGAGGTTGTTGTTGTTGTTTTTTCTGTTCGCTATGAAAACAATTCTACCTAAGGTATGTTAGTTTATTCATATCAAACTGGACGTATATTTATTGATTCAATCTCACAAGAATACATAACGGCCTAATCACATGAATAATGAATAATATTACATATTTGTAGTAACAAATTACTCATAAACAATTTAAGTAAAATAAAATAATGTGAATAAAATAAATGACATACTCTTTTATGGCAATAATTAATTTAATAGACAGATAATGTCAAGTTTCAAAAGTCCTGGTTAAAAACAATTTATTCTAATACTACTAGAGAATGTGACCAGCTAGAAATTAAAACACAGCTAAATAGTTCAATATTATCAGAAATTCAATTTTATGTACAAGAAACGATACAAATAAGTTTATGATAAAAACATGTCAATTACATCTGACAGATAAACAATGAAATTATTAGGCATCTAGTGACCACTTCTGAAAAGTAATTATAAGAGATCTAATGACAAAACATAGTTAGTGAAGTTCAGTTAAGTCAGATGAGGCAGTTAATCACCTATCAACAGAACTGAAAGATGGCTATGTAATATTACGAATTAACGGGACTTGGAAATTTAAACCACTGGATCCCGCCTCTCAATAGTCTAACAGTTAATCACTCGTCATGAGATCTGAATTTTTTTGGTTTGATCCTTAATATGATCGTGAATGTGCATTGCTGAAAAGTCTCATACTAATATGAAACAGCTATTCCATGCTTCCTGGTTTATAATCATTCTCTAAGGTCAGCTAATCATGTATACTAAGCGATTCGACAATCACTACAAATATCGTTTAGTAATAAATTAATATCATCACAAAGCTCAATATATTCCTAAAACAACATAGTAATAGTTCCGAAAAATATTTATAGCTAATTAATTTCTTATACAGAAATACTTAAATACAATAAATGAACAAGCATTAATGGAAACCAAAGTGAATGACAATTCACAAAAGTCCATAAAAAAAATACATACACAAATAGAGTTCATTTAAAATAGAACAAAACTTGAAATAAACTAACAAATAGTGGAGGAAAACAAATAAACACGCCAACAAATGAATTGATATTGGAAAATATAAAAAGAAGAATCAATACATTTGTATGGTTAAAAAATAAACCATATCCAAATAGCAAAACCAGTAATACAATAAGTTTTAGTTGTTAAAGAGAAGAGGTGATTAATTTTCTCAACGTTTCTCATATTTTCCTAGCCAAGGATGAACTAAAAACAATATAAGGTTTAAATAAACATTAAAACATATAATGTCAAATTTTATAATAGTTGAGTGTTGAAATATATGATTTTGAAATAGTGAATTTTGATCATAACCAGTAGTTACAAACTCTAGCACGAAATGACCGGCCCAACAAACAGACAAAGTAACTCTACTTACTGAAGAATATTGACGAACCTAACGATGATACATACTACTTATATCTATCGACATCAGTAGCACACAACACACTCGTCTCCCTTCAAAGCAGTCGTTCTTGCGGTGGTTCTGCTCGCCGTGTTACTTTATTCTTTTCTGCAGTCTATGTCACGCTCCATATCAAAATTTCGAGTGTGTGGTGCGTTGACCTGCCGGACAATCGAAATTCGACGTACACTCAGCACATGGGACGTTCAACACCTGCGCTCCAGCGACTTTCTGAGCCATCTACATCCGATGTCTGCCAAGCACCAGCACTTCAACAACATCCGGGTAGTATCCCAGCCCTCACACAAATCGAATGATTTGTGTGGTGCATATTTGTTTAGCAACTCCTTGTACCAATGTTTATGTGTTTAAATAAAAATAAATAAAAAGAACCTCTATGCACCAGACCGCCCTAACTGGCACCTCAGCTCCTGGTCCACAACGGCGTCCGCTGAACAGCACCCTTCCACATCTCCTGGTTGGCAGCGATACCAAATGTAGTGAACGAGAACACAAGTGGGGACAATCGGATGCATTTGACTACAAAATTATGGAACATCTTAGCAAAATCTGAGAACTATACGGTAAATACTTCATTTGCAAAATGTCGATCAGTCGTCTTAGACTTGATTGTTCCTCCGATTCCACACCAATCATTCTGTACTTGTTCTCTTTTCTTGGATCTTCTTAACCGTCTGCCGCCATGCATTTAACTTTCGACTGATGATATATACTACTTATATCTGTCGACATCAGTAGCACACAGCACTATATCACATAGTGGCATGGCAGTATCTACTGAAAGAGAAGGAGGTTATGCACATAGTGCATTACACAGTCAATTAATTATTGGGAAGTGACCAAGTGATTAAAAGTATTTCAGTCTAACAGGAGGTCAGTCACCAACCGACTAACTCATTAGTAGCATTTCAGACTGTGAAGCTACATGGCACGTCATCGATCCATCAGGTACACATTGTTAATGAGTGTTACAAAATATGAAACCTAGGATCAGAGTTTCCTCTCAACTACCTCTAACAATCTAAAAGTACACTATTTATGTAAAAATATACATCGTGCGATGACGCGTAAAACGGTACAATC